ACACATTTTCGCAAATTTTTTCCTAATCATGCACACATAACTTTTTCCCACACGATATTTAATACAATTATGTCAAAGGAAAAGGATCTTCACCGTACAGATTCGATTTATCAAAAAGTTTCATTCCTCGTTGCCCCGCACCATATTTTCCTTCTTCTGGACATCTATCTCCTCCGCGTCGTAATTAATCATTGGTGAAGTCCAGGATATCTCTCGTGGACCCGCGCCCGTTTAAGCGTCCGACAGAACTTTCCTTCGCAAAGATATCACACGAGGATTAGGGACTTCGGAACTTTCGCGTCACATTTATCTCGGGAACGTCGATACACCTTGGAGTTATTAAGAATTTCCGAACGACGATAATAATTTCTTGCACACATTTTCGCAAATTTTTTTACTCGTATAAGAAGTTAAATAACTATCTAAAAATATTCTTGCAAACATATTTAAGATATAATTTTGAATTTAATAATTTGAATACTAATACGTACAATTATTAAAATGTTTGTAGTTCTAATTTAAAAGGGCTTTAATTTTCCAACGAGCTGTCAATTAGAAACGTGAAGCAGCGTCGTTGCAGACAGCATTATGCGACCGCCTCCGCTCGCGCTCTGAAATCCGTGCTCTCCCGACAACAATATCACGCCAAACTACGCTTGATTATGCTTAAAAATGCACGCGAATGAAATTTACATAATATCACGCCACTGTAAATTTCGGGTAAGGAGGGCGCGTTGCACGCGACCGCTCGCGAATTTCATTAATCGGACAGATGCGTGCATTGCGCGTATCCCATTTAAGGTTGTGTTTGTTTGAACATTATCATGACAAAGGGCACGGCGTGGGTGCCCATGTAGCCGCTCCGGCTCATGTCCTCTTGTCAACCAACGTGACAGCTTTCATTCACAGACGTAAGAATACAACAAAATCAAAAGTAAGACAAGTAGAAAAAAAATTATAACGTACTTTTTAAAGCTTTGAGTTCGTTAAAACAGCAATGCAAAATGTTGTGATTGTTTATAGATAATTGGATTAATTGTGTAAAATAGCGTAATGAATTAGAAACTTATGATAGATATAAATATACGGTCATACGAAAACTCGCAAGTAATCCGTAAAGTGAAATTTTCACTAACCGTGAAATCGAGTGGAAAGAATGCATGCCGAAGAGGTATCTGTCATCCTTCCCCTTAAGGCATCACTCTACTTGAGAACAGGTGTTCGCTTCGTGCATCGTTTTACGCGGGATGAAATTCCATTAGGTTGCATCGGTTACACGAATTCTGTGGCAGTTATAACGCGATTATGTCACACATACGAGAGACACGTTTCGGATGAAAAAAAAAAAGTACGAATAAAATTGTGTATAATGAATAGTTTTTTTCAATTGCAACTTGGCGTGACTTAAAGACGCAGTGCGACGATAGCCTGGCCTCATTGTTTTGGCACGAAATGTTTCAATAACGAATCTTCACAAAATAAGGATATCCATCCGATAATTAAAAAGCAAACGTTATTTTGAAAATTCGATAGAAAAATATTTGCGAAGTACGTAAATAATGAGTAATTAACGAATGTTTAATTAAACGTCACGTCCATATTTTTTTCGAAAAATATAGGTTAACTTTTCCTCGGCATTTCTCGTATTTACAAAGGCAATGAGACACGCTGAATACAACGGCAGAGACTACGATAATAAAAAATTGTCGCACCGTGCCAGCTACAAAGTGCTCGAGTCTACTTATTTAAGTCTTGTCAAAAATTTATCATTGTTTTTCTTACTCGAAATATTGACTAGGAGGAACTTGGCGCACTGCCTTGTTTTCCTTGCGTCTGCACGAATAGGTATTCGTAACCAAACATTATACACACACTATTTCGCAAAAATATATGATGGCCGTGGCTCACCGTAGTTGATTTAGTAAGAATTTCTTTGGCACATAAAAGAAATAAGAGTGCATTATCAGCAGAGTTAAAAATAATTTTTTTCCTGTAGTATAATAAATGTATGAAATAAGATTCAATACTCTCTCTTCTTTTTAAATAACAAAACGCTTCAAAAATCGAATGCTATCAATCGAAAACTATTATATAAATCTATAATAAAAGAAAATTAAGATTCAATACCTTTTATATACGAATTATATCGTGATTGACATAAAAGAAAAATTGTAAAATTGTAAAGATATGGCAATAATTTATTTAGAAATAAATTTCATTTATTTAAGTGTATAAATCATAATCTTCCACTTTTCATTATTATTATTATTTCTATATTTTCTGTTAGCAAAAATCTCTTCATATTTTTGGAATAATAATAATCTCTTATATGTGTGAGAAAGTACGATATTAGATTCGAAGCAACTCGTGCGAATAGCATTTCTCGTGTAAGTCTCGGACGTAATCTTGAAAAAGTATCGATTGCATGCACCTC